ATCTAATGTTCGAAGTGCTCGATTAAGCATTTCATAAGTAAAACACTCACGTGTATACCACCAGATTGCTTGTTCTGGACGATAATTACGTTGAAATTCATCAATAATGTTTAATTGAGTCATGTTGTCATGATAAAATTTATGGTAATACATTGCTAAGTCCTTGACAGCTTGTTTGTGATCATGTTCCATTTCAAGGAGAATCTCTTTGAATATTTGTGTGTACATGTAATTTGGCTCTAGTTGATTCAGGCTTTCATTGGACATCGCTTCAGTCGTTGTGACAAAGCTTATAGGAATTGAATTCTGATTGACTTGTTTGACACCTTCTTTTAAGACGTCACAGATGTCCATGATATTATCATGAACACCCTTGATCTTTCTCCAGTTCTTGGCCCATTGTTGATGGTAGGATACGTTGCCACAAAATATATAAATGGCATCTAATGACTGCATGCCATGAATTTCAGGAACTAAATGTTGTCCAAGTGAGCCCGATGTAATGACGAACGCTTTTTCATCATTGAGTTTGCGGACAAACTCGATACATTCGTCTGGTTGAGTGCATATAGTAACATCGTTGATCACAGCTCGGAGTTGTGTCAACGTATTTTGACAATCCTTATTAGTTTGGTCGATATTTGCATCGACCCAAACCAATAGATAGTTTAGAATCATACGCTGACGTGTCGGTGTCGTTGCTGTTGTAATAGTGGTGTTAGAGTCGCCTGAACTGGACGCTGAACCAAAATTGTTCTGTGATTTTTTTGCGATCATATTGGTGTGAATTGTAACCTGACGATGAATGTGAACTTATAAATAAGTGTTGTTATTTGAATAAACGCAGAGATTACAGTATCGGTTTATATAGGCAACGACTTGTTTTTTTCTCGATGTTTCTGCGACACATAACGGTTGTAATATTTTGTCGGGATGAGAAGATAAACTCTACCTAGTTACTATTGAGAACACGATTACAAAATATGACAGAAAAAGAAAGAGAACCGAAGAAAAAGTAGTAATTTACAACATTGAAACCAACCAAACTTAAAGAAGACAACACGCTACTTTATTTTATCTTTTTTTTCCTTCCAACTTGGTGTTATCTGTGTTGGCGCAATTACTTCAGTATGTCAATGCGTAGCGAACACTTTTTCGCCGGATGGATGTGAGAAGAAAAAGAAACATAATTCTCTCTGTGAGTTTCTTTTTCTCTCTCTCACTTGGTCGTTCATTATTTTGTTATTTCATCAGTGTGGTTCAGCAGCGTTCAAATTTTCTAAAAAGGAAACTCGAACATACCTCAAAAACCCCTGAGCGAAAGAGCTAATATGTAACAGAATACTTTGTTTGTAGTGCTATGCTGTATACGCTAATGACATCATACATATTGTCGGGATTTATTGTGTTGTAGCGTAGTGCAGATGTCAATCGTAATGTTTGAATTGTTTACTATAAGCTTCGGAAATGTTTGACTTTTTTGATTGAATGTGAACATAGTCGATATCTATAATGATTAACTTAATAGGAATGATCTGATGCAGTCGACTACTAATTTAAACAGTAACGAGTATATTAAAATTGCTACAATACTATTATACTGAGAGTGGTAACATACAATGAAGGAAGATGAGTTAATTGTGTTTTGATAGCATTGTATTCATTCACAGTTTCTCTAATTATCTTTCAAAAAAATAGTTTTAGAATAGTTATAGTGCTGCTATTGCTTATAAAGGGTACTTTACTTTTTAATTAAGAACGACAAACACGATGTATTAGAGAAATTTGCATTCTTTCGGACTTACATATGCTAGATCAAATATTGATAATATATATCGAAAGTTTATAAAATAAAAATATCTGATATACTTATTTTGTAAATTTTGTAGCTACGATATCGATCATCATCACAGCTACCACAGTAACAACTACTTCATATATAAGCACAATTAATATTTCTAGATTTACAAGTGTCACCTCTTTGTGATAAGGATATAGATGGGAGGGAGTCACAATGTGAATGTTTTCGGATAGTATACTTATCTTTCATCAATATTTACACTCAAATTCATCATCAATCTGCTTTGAAATTGATATATATATTCATGCATTGACACTTTTCGATGCACGTTGGCCATAATCATCTATTCAGCTTTTTCCTATTATCATGATATAGAATGTCAGAGATTAGATTTTAGTTTTCTATTAAAATAGCCTAATTGAAGTCTGCTACTATACATTCCAGTATCAGTGAAAATTGAACAATTTAATTTTAGTTTCGAGAAACACGACAATAATTCGATTGCAATGCAATGCAACTTAATCAGTAACAAAGTTAATATTAAAATTGATTCACGTAACAAATTTTAGACGAATAATAAGATAATTTTAATAAATATATTTCATTCGTAAATTCTTTCAAAGATACATATAAAACAACATTAATTCGAATGTATAGAGATAAATAAAATAAATAACAAATACAAAACAACATCAAAAAGAAAATAGATGATTTACATGTAATCTATCGTATCTGAACGATATACAAGAATATTTTGAATTGACTGCCGACTAGAAACGTGAGATAAAACATATTGCATATGCATTGGTGACTGAAATTTAAACTTTTTCTTGAAGTGTCGAAGACAAAAGTGGAGAGACAACGCCACTATATTCTTCTATTCCTGTTTCATGAGCTAAATGAGAAAAAAAAATGCTACATATGCACTTTATAATAAATAGTTATACCTGATTTTCGATCTCGAGTAATAAAACTAAGACGATTATTTTGATTTGTTACTTCACAACAGAAATAACAAAATAATATTGAACATATAGCAAATAAAATGACTGATACAAGTACAAAAAATAGAATAACTTTGGCACGAAATGATAATGGTTCATGATGATGGCCTAATAAAAAATCATTTAATACTTTTTTTACTAAATATTTCTATTCACATACCATATTCACAATTTGCTTCATCTACACCGTTAGGACAATTTTTATAACGATCACAAACAAGACTTCGTTCAATACAATAGGTATCCGAAAAACAATCAAAATTACATGGTGTATACATTCCTAGAAAAAGAAATTTGTATGAACTAGAAAAAAAGAACGTTTTTCAACTAAAATATTACGTGTTTTTATTTTTAATGGTGTAACAACCATTGAAAATTTTGATAATGGTAATTTTTCTGATCGATAATATGTTACTGTTAATTGTTCTGTATCAAAATAATATTCACTACCATTTTGTGTATTACAATCAATATTTATCATTTCACCTGATCCCGCTTTAATCGTTATATTTTCCGTTAAACATAACGGTTGAGCAAGTAGATGTAGATAAAATCTTGTTGATATAGGCAAATTAGGTATTAATGATCCATTTTGAGCAGTTGGTAAACAACAACTTTCAATATTTAATACACATTTACCAATCCATGGTGTTCTATATAAACAAAAAATAACAAATAAATAATAATGATCTATGTTAGAAACTAACCCAGCATAACGAATTATGCCTGCATCAGGTGTAAATTTACTGAGTGGATTACAATATGGTCCATATGTATTTTCCATATTAACTAAAAAGATTAAGTTTCTTTTTTAAAGTAATGTCTTTATCAAGAGATCATCTTACAATATGTCACTTTGGCGCATGAAGATGAAAAATACAAGAGAAGAAAAATAGTAATTAGTGGCAACATCTGAAAAAAAAAGAGAGAATAGTGAACTTTCTTAATATATTAATTTTATTTCTGAATTAAAGTGAATATGGAACACACGTTAAATGTTTTTAACAAAACGACAAAATTACATTGAAAAGAAGCAAATACAATCTGACAAAAGTGAACAATAAAGCAGCTGGATTTTAATAAATGAAGATCTTTAATCTATTATTTTTCTATCTGATCTAATTTATTCCAAACGAGGATAAATTGGTTTAGTCGAATCAATAATTAAGGCTGGAGGTCCTGTATATTGTTGTTGAGGTAAAATTTCTACAACAGTTGCTGGTGCTGTAAGTCCTTTCATTAAACCAGCATCTTCACCAGAAATAGTAATATCACCTTCTAGAATATTTTAATTATTTTATAGATAAAATAAAATAGGAAAATATATTTTCAACTAACTTTGAATAGTATTACTTCCTTTTTTTGAGCGAAAACGTCGAACAATTCCATTACATGCAGCTCGACAACAACAACAAATTAAAACTTGAAAAGAAAAAAATTAATTAGAAAATATATTTTTATTTTCTTCATTACCTGTTGATAAGATACAAAAAAGCATAATTAATGCTAACGTTATCAGAATAATTGCAGTTATTGAAATACCATCTGATGATGCATCTAAATACATCAAAATTTGAATATTATAAATACCGTTAGAAATACATACTATGACAATTTCGTTCATCATAACCACTTGGACATTCAGAACGTCCATTACATTGAAGTTTTCTATCAATACATGAATTAGGATAATCAATTTGACATTGAAAAAATATATCGCTATCATCACAAGGTTCTAAAATTCCGCAAAACATTTTTCATAATCAAATTTTATTTTTTAATAGTACCTTTAGCTAATGCAACAACTTGTACTTGTGTTGTTCGTTTTCTTTCTTCACTATTTAGATTTCGTTTATATGTTAAACGAATTGTGTTACAAAGCATTTCAATTTTATTTTTACTCGTATGACATGTAAATTGTTTTGGTGCTGATGTTACCTATATAAATATCAAATTAGAGTAAAGTAAAAAATAAAAGATGGAATATTTTACTTGATTAATTAAATTATTATCAGGAAGACAATCAATTGTAAGAGTTGAAGCGCAATCCATTTCCCGAGATAAAAATAATCCAAAACCATTTTGTATATTTTTTAACCAAGGATTAGTTATAAATACTGAACAACTATCTTTTCCATAGGCAATTTTAGGTGAAAATTTAACTAAAGTTGCATAATTTTTATCGATTGTTTTGTTATTATTTTCCGATGACCAACAATCATCATCAGAATTGATTACAACTAAAACATAAATTTCATTCTTTAAATTTTATATAAAATATATATACACTTACTTTCATGATAATATGGTGATGAAAAAATGACTGGTAGAAAACAAATAATAAATATATATTTCATATTTTAATCTAGAAAATTAATTCGAATTATTTACTTTTTTTCACACAAATATATATAAGAAATAATTCATTTAAAAAATAATATACATACATGAATTTTAATAATGAAGGAGCATATAAGATAAATAGAAATTATCATTTTATAGAAATGTATGCTCACTCTCTCTCTCTCTCGTTCTCTACATATAAACGATAGAATTTTGATTTTACTCTATACATAAAATGAACAAAATAATGTTAGTAGTAATTAAATCTTATGTTTATATACAAAAGACAGCATAGAAATAAACGTAAGATAGATTAACAATGAAAATCATCATTATTCAAGACGAAGAAAAATGAAGTTTTCTTTTTAGGAAATGAAAATATAATACACACAGAAACAAATGATAAAATATAACCGGATAATACACTTTGCATGTTTTTTTTAAAAAAAAAGAAAGAAAGAAAGAAAATAATCGTAGAATATTATACATACTACTAAAATGAAAGTTTTCTATACCACGATCGTGGAATATTAATGAGGATGTCTAGTAATATAATTTCTTTGTATTATATTTCCATCCGTTGATTCTGAATTAAGATCAATTCCGTTTGTTGTAGAAATAATTGATGAAAAATCAAGATTTGATTCGTTTTGTGATGGTCGTGTTGATGAATGAAATATCTTTGTTTCAGTTAAAATAGCACGTAATTGTGTATTTTCACGTTCAGCTCGAGCTAAATTATCACTTAATTGTTTTATTTGTGATTTACATTGTTCTAAATTTCCTTCAAGCTGTTCAATATAATTTCGACGACGTTCACGACAACGTCTTGCTGCTTCACGATTACTATCACGTATTTGTTTTTTACGTTGATCATCTGAACCACCGTTATTGTTGTCATTTTGACTATTATTATCATTTGATGATGATGAAAATGATGAACGTAATCCTATGGTATTATTTGATGTTGAAATGATTTTTAGCCGTTTTGTACCTGATGATTGATCACTTGACGTAACTTCATTTATAATCGCGGGTTGAGAAATAACAATTGAATTCGTTTTCGATGATGCTGTAGCTGAAAATATAGAAAAAAAATGCAAATTCTGAAGAGAATAATGTAAATTTAATTACCAATAATAGCTTGGGATAATGTTCGTTTATTATTGAGTATAACTGGTTGTTGTTGTTGTTTAATAATCGTTGGATGTGCTCCATTTTGATTTGATCGGAATTGCATTGTATAGGATGGCTCTATATTATTATCTATTTGTGAATTTGAATCAATCGTATGTGTTAAAATAGGTAAATCATGCATACGTTGAAAATTATTATTATTATCTTCATCAATTGAATTTTCATCATCATGATTAAGTTTATTTAATTGAGATAAATGATTAGTTGGTGATGTTGCTTCTGTATGGGATTGACTTCGTCGAAGAAATTGTTTTTTTGGTGAAACAATTACACCCATGTTATGTGTTGGTGATGTATCAAGACGATTACTATCACTTATTGTTACTTCGCGTTCGACGTTGTCTCTAGTAGGATATTTTCCAAATGATTCAATATCATTCATAACCTTAAGAAAAAGAAAAGAAATATGAGATGAGACAAATGTCATGATTCATAATTTTGATGATTCACTTTACCTCGGCTGTAGATGGTATGTCAACAGGGAGACCATCATCTTGAGTAGGAGGCAACGATGTATTTTTCTCAATTGATAAACCTCCAGCTTTAACTATTTTTTGAAAAGGTGATTCAGTTGGTTGACGAGAATGTATAATTTGTTTAAGGTCATTTTCTATGTTTAATAGTTTAATTTCGGCTGATGAAACAGGGAATGAATCACCATCATCATCATTTGTTGTTGTTGTTGTTGTTGTTATTGTTAACCGATTAGCAGTTGAATTTTGATTATTATTATCATTATCATTATGATCATTTGTAGAAGTTGTATTTGAAGGTTTATAGAACAATTGATTTACACTGAGATTTGGTGTCATTAAAGATGGAGTGTCTAATATATTCGGTGTTTCCATATTTTGAATTTGTATTGACAAGGATTATTATACTAGAGAAGACATATTTTTTTTCTCAATTATTTGTAATACAAAATAGAAAAAATAGGGATGGACGTATTACAACAAAAAATTTGATACGTGAAAATATGTTAGAAAATATATTCTCTTTTACAACTAAAAAAACACGTCTCAGTATTGTGTTCTATTTTGTTTTTATCTTTTTGGTATTTTAGGAACAAATAAACAAATAAACATATTAGTACATAAAAAACAAAAACAACATAAAGAAAGAAAAATAGGCTTAATAAATAATTATGAATGGTTAAAATTATTCATCCATCAATAATCCATAAAAAATTTTATTAAATATATTCGTTATTTTAAAGAGTATTGATAATTAAAAAAATAATCGTAATTAATTAAATGTTTTCATCAACAGATGTCGCACTAGTCATTTTACTACGACGAAATAAATAATATAATTGTTCGGAACTAAAAATTTGCTTTTTAGGACACTCCAACACCTAGAGAATATATTCACATGAATGTGTAATTTTTTATCCGAAGCCCTCAAGATGGTTATATAATAATTTCCTTTAGATTTTTTCTGTTCAAATACAAAACAGAAGATTATATTTAACAATTAAATAATTATTACATTCAATTCAAAAGATACATATATATATATATAGATAGACAGATAAATAATGAGATAAATCAATACATTGAGAAGAAGAAGAAAAAAAAACGAAAAAGAACAAATGAGAATTCATTCCACTGTTTTGACTTTGTGCACAAAACGAAAAAAAGAAAAGAAAGAAAAATGCAGATCAATCAAAGAATAAGTCAATAAAGGCAATTCTCATAAAATAAATATCTAAATTTCATACAATAAATATTCTCATTTATCGTGAATTATTAATGCACATTCAAAGATCAATAAGATTTTTTGCTTATTTCTTATTTGAATTTGAAAATATTGGTTGAGTATTGGCATTGAATGATGGAAAACCAGAACTAGTTGGACTTGTCGGACTAGTTAATTGATTAAGTGGTAAACCATTTTTGTGTGGATCACCACGTGTATGTGGGATTAAATTATTTAATGATATATCTAATTTTCCTTGAGCAGATGACCAAGTATTCTAAAAAAAAGAAGAAAATTGTTATACTTATAATGAATTTCCTTGTTATTCAGTTGTAGACTTACGTTAAATAAATTTGCATGAGTTTGCGGTTGCACTGATGATTGCATCATAGTTTGTTGTTGAAACATAGGTGGACGTGTAAATAATTGTTGTTGATTAGGTAAAAACATTGTTGGTTGAGTTTGTGGCATACTAAAAAGATCTAGATCATTGGATGGAGTTTTATTGGTTGTTTGAAAAAGATTAGTTGATGATTCAAATGATGCAAATGGATCGAATGTGTCTGACGATGATGTAGTTTGTGTTGATGGCGTTGGCCAAAGTGATGGCTGAATTCTAAATAATTCAATTGAATTTTTTCTTTAGTTGATGAATTCAAATTTCAAAAATAAACATACGGAGAACTTGGAGATACAGCCTCTTGAAATTGACCAAAATCTTCATCTTGTGAAGCTTGAACATAAGGTGTAAACTCTACATCATCACCTAATAAATCAACAACTGGTGCTTGTGTTATTGGTTTATTATTTGTAGTAGTAAACTAAAATAAAGAGTTAATAAGATATTCATTTAATTTAATATAAATAATAAAATTTGTATCAGCTTGTGCAAACGAGTCTAACAATTTAATTTGTTAAATAGCTGTCTACATCTGAATGATGGTTTCTTATTCGATGGATTGATTAAATTTAACAATCATTTATAGAATTAATATTGTTAATTTTAATCATTATCGATAATAAATAAAAATGTTATACTGTGTATTCAAATAAAGAAACGCCAAGTGTATTTTAATTTCACTCGCGTAGGGTTGATGAATACAAAATTACTCTTGGCAAATTCATAACACGATGAATATGGGAATAATTCATTATGTTTTCAAGATTTGCCTTTGAAATTATTCCTTTAATTACCTTTGGTTTATTTTGTATTTCATTCTTTTGATCTTTTTTCCATGATGTTGATTTTGAATTTTGATTTTCTTCATCACTAAAAATTATAATCATATATATATATTGAAAATGTTTATTAAAATTTGCTCAGATTAGAATGAATGGATAGTAAATGCAATCATCAAATACATATCAGATGACGCGCATGAAGATAATCATCATAGCTAATTTTAATAAATGTTTACCTTATATCAGCTGAATAATCTTGAGATTTATTCGAAACATAATCTTTCGTTTTAGTAAAGTTTTGTTCACTTTTTGATTTTTTATATTCATGTGAATCATGAAAATCTTTCTTTTTTGTTGAATATGATTCATCATTATCATTCCATCGATCACCTTAATTATTAATCAGATTAAAAAATAAATAAAAGATTATAGAATATAACATACTATAACGATGCGATGATGATTCATTACTCATACCAATATATTTATCTCGATTAGCTTTTGCTCTTTTACGTTCATCACGAATACGATCATCATCTTGAATAAATTCAATTAATTCTTTTACTTTATGACGAACTGAAAAAACGATATTTATTAAGATAAAAAATTTTTTTTGAAAATTATTTCTTACTATTAATTCCTTGATCTTTGCCATGTTCATCATGATGAGCAAAATTTTCTAAACTTTTAAGGTCATAAAGATGTTCACGTGCAGATGTAACGACTTTATCACTACCATTTTTGATTAAATATGTTAACACAAGTAGTGACTAAAAGGCAAGAATGAAAAGAATTTAGTTCTATACACTTCTGTTGTTGATGAATGAGAAACACATTCCTTTTATGTTGACTATTTTTCTACATAAAAGCATTCGAACATCAGAAAGAAGAAAAAAACTAAAACTATTTATAGTAATTACATAAAAAACATTGCCAACGGTGGACATATATCGAGACTAAGATAATCATCAACTTTCAATTACGTTCTCTCAAAGAAAAATATTCAAAGTGTGTCAAACAGTTACTGGCTATTTTCTCAACAAACATTAAAACGAAAATTTCCAAAAGTTGCGAAGAATATATTTATTATGAAGGGAGCGGAATGCGGTTATATTGGTGGTGACATATTTATTGACTGCATCAGTATGTGTAAATCATAATTGCACAATAAAAGATCTAGACAGGTTTCGTTACATTTATTCAAGGCCGGACCTATGTATATATACGTCTCCTTTCCTCAAGAGGTTAACACATTTCATTGATAGAGAACTAACGTTTGTTGTATAAAACATACTTTATATGTTCGTCTCCAATATTTTTTATCTTGACCAAAGCATCGCTTCCAAAGCATTCCTATTAACTAAAGTAAATAGAAAAAAAATATTTTAATATAAAATTTTGTGAAAAAATTTGTGTTTTTCTTACTTCATTATAATTTTCATGTGAATATGACAATTGTGATAGATCTTGTAATAATTTTCCAGGTGGTCCCCAAGATTCATCATTTGTTGCTTCAACAACTTTCGCTTCGGTTTCTGAATAGTTCATAACTATATTTGTTGCTTTATCAAATAATTCTCGAACAACATAGGGCATTGCTGGTAAATAACTACTTATATTCATTTTACTTAGTTGATCCATCCTATGTATGTTCTACTTCTAATATCTATGATAAGAATCAAGATCGAATTGGATCAAGTAAACATCGGCGATGTCGCGATAACACCACTACCATTTGAATGGTTATGTGTAAACGCAATTCGGACTTCATTGTATTTTAAATTAGATATTCATTTGGATTTTATCTTACAAATTTAAAAAATAAAAATATTAAAATAAATTATTTTGAATGAAATGAAAAAAATAAAAATTTTCAGATGTCGCACATTGATTATGCAGACTCGTTACGATTATAACCAATTAAAAAGCATAAGTGTGTTTCATCTGATTGTATTTTTTTCGCTATGAATTTTGATATAAAAGTGAGTAATGTACTAAATACAGAAAAAAAGACCTCATTGAATCTCATAATTCAGGATATATTAAAAAATTTCGATCGTCGTTATGATATTACATATCGTCGTTTGAATAGAAGGTAGGTAAATGAACGATATATTTCACAATCTATTCTAATTAATATTTATTTTTTCATTAGGTCTTAATTATATCTATTTAAAAAACAACATGTGTTTTGATGTCACATATAATGGCCGATTTTATATTAATAAATTTACGTTCACTTACACAACAAATAAAAGATCGATGTGGAATAAATAAGTTAGTTAAATAAAATAAATAGTCTTGAATACATTTCTATGTTAAGGTCTCGACGAACATTTTTCATATTTATTCTTACTGCAACAATTATTTTTTATCTTCTATCCAAATGGACACCTCATCGATCACAATACAAGAATAGTAAATAATTTTATTATCATACACATATATAAGATTCTTGTTTTTTGAATTTTCTTAGTTCTGTATGATGCATGTATTCAAGCAAGATTAGAAGAATTTTCCAATGATGCGACGGATATGAATGCTATTCTTAATCATGAACCCATTCAGTATGGAGAAATTGTTAGTCTACCATTTACAGGTTAGTATTTACAACTAGAAAGTACTAAGGGTAGCCAAAAAGTTTTGCAAACAGCACTTTTTTGCTTATCGAAAGCTCGAAAACTTTTTCTTTTTTGTTATAAAAAGATAGGGCATTTTTTTTACACCTAACTCGTTATTAGATCTTAATCGATGAAATATTTTGTATTTCATTTTATTATCGTTAAATGCGTTGTATTAAAAAATGAAATATATCACAAGATACAGCGTGAAAAGCTCTACAATTTATGCAGGACCACATTTTATAGTTGCACTCTTTTATTTTCAAAACAAGTAAAATTCTGAGTGACCATATTTCGAGATTATGAAAGCTGGATCTTTTTTTGCTAAGAGCTATATTCGTTTTTACCCATATTATCTTCTTATAGTTCTTCTTTGTAAATTGTAGAGCTTTCTACGCTGCATGTTATCGTATATTTCATTTCTTACTACAACGCTTTCAAAGATGATAAAATGAGATACAAAATGTTTCATTCATTAAGATCTAATAACGAGATAGGTGTAAAAAACAATCGTTTTTATCAAATTTTTATTACTATGATATTAGATGAATAGGGATCAAATAGCATAGAAAAATAGAGCAAAAAAGTGCTGTTTGCGAAACTTTTTGATTGCCCTTAGTAGAATTTATAATTCTGAGAGGCGAGAGATCTACGAAATATTTGAATTTGTTTGTATTCTAGGCAATGGTTACATTGGTCTATCCCTTTCAATTCAATCTCATATTCAATTAATACCTGATGCTCGCAATTCATTTATATCTAGTGGTTATTCTCCTGTTATTCAAACTTCATCAAATATTTGGGAAGTTTCAAGTGCAAACATTATTCAAATGAATCATGGTGTTGTGAGACGTACTCAATGTTTTAAAATAAATGCAGAACGTTCAGCATATGTTACACATCTGTTATATGCACATCGTCGTCGTTCATCATTAATAATTCAAGAAATTGATATTGTAAATCCAAGTGAACAAACACTTGATCTTGATTTTCAACAGGAAAAATCTCCCGTAGATAATAATATAAAACAACTTGATAAACAAGATATTGAATTTGATTCATCAAAAGATAAATTTATGATGATAACAAATCAAATACCACTTCGACAACATAATTCAATGATAGTAGTTATTATTACAAAGAAAATAGTATCTAAAAGTCATATTAAACCTGATGGGTATATTTTAATTTTAATCTTATTTTAGATAAAAATTCTTCTTCTTTTAATTTTTTAGTCAAGATAAACAAGTCATTTTAACTGTGACAAAATATTCTCAAATACTTACTGATGATTTATTATCAAATACAACTTATTTTAAACAATTGCAAAATACATTACAAAAACAAGCAAAAGATGAATTATATGAAGCATTAGCAATATCTCCAAAAATCTTATTAAAAGAACATATCGATACATGGTCATTAATATGGCAAAGTGGATTTTCAATAAGTCGTTCATTAGCACCGTCAGTTATGAATGGTGATGTGATAAATCGAACAATTTATTATGTTTTATGTTCAACACCTTCACCACTCTATGATTTAAATTTAGAAGAAACACAAAGAAATAAATTTAATCAAAGTCTTTTTCAAATTGATCAATGTTATGAAAGTCATTCAACATTGTAAGAGCGAATCGTATTTATAAGAATTATGAAAACAAATTGCTATTTTTCTAGACTTGGTGATCGATTATGGCGTGCACCAGGTGATGATTTAGCTGTATCTCAATTATCACTTCTTTGGCGTTCAACATTATCTAAAAAAGGTTGTACTACCTTAATGAAAAGTGGTATGTTTATATATTTTTCAAAAAAAACGAAAATATCTAAAATCTATTTTTGTTATTCAAGGTGTTAATGGTATGCTTCAATCAATGTTAATTTCAATTGGTGGTATACGTTTTCGTAATCATCATCTTGAAATGATTTTAGATCCCAAAGAACTTCATCGTGATATGTTTTTTCGTTCAATACATTTTGGTAAACACTATCATGTAAATATAAGTATTACTGTTGCACATGATAATCGTGCTGTTATTGATGTATCAATTGATAATGAAAATGCTCAGGCATATGCATGTGATGCCGGTTGTTTAGATTCATATACAAAACTTAGGTTTGTTTAGAGAAAAAAAACGAAACTCAAATAAACTATTTATTTATTCTATACAGTACGAAACCTATTCGATTTCCTGTTAAAATGACAAATCCACCAACTGCTATTCTTTATATAACTGAAGATTTAGAATATATGACGCAATTAAAAGATACATTACATGTTAAAGAAGTTGATATAGGTAATTAGAAACAAAAATATATATCAATATATATCTTATTTTTGTATTTTATTAAGCACCTCCACATGCACATGATGTACTTGCTTTACATCGACATGGTCATAAACTTGGTGGTTTACCAGTTATATTTTGGATAGCATTAGCATTTTTAATAGTTATTTTTCATTTATTTTTATTAAAAATTGTCCTCAATGAAATGGGATTTTTTAAATATTCATCATCAACACATACAAGAGCACGTATCCTATAAACATTGGCTTGTTTTTTTCCATTTATATTTATATTTGTAATTAAAAGTTCTTTTCATTTTTTTTCATATTTTGTTCTGAATAGGTGGCGTTTTTCTTTTTTCTATTTCACGTTAAACGATAAAAGATAATATATTACTTTTCATATAGGCAAATCATACTTTACTTTTATTGTTTCTTTGCTAAAGTTGAATGATTAATTCAACAACAAAATTTACATAGTATCCACTTGTCTATTGTTCTTTTCAATTTGTTGTAATTGATGGTAAAAAATAATTTATTTCAATTGCCTTAGAGCAAAACACGATTCTATTTATATATAAAAAACAACAAGTTTTCGTACAACAATACATAAATATTTTCAACAAATGAATATATATTCCTCATTTAAACAGATCTATGATTATGTTGAGAAATCACTTGATGAATATTCGAGATTGATTAATGATTTAGAAATTGATTATTATCAATGTTCGCCAACATCAATTGAATTTACATCAAGAAAACCTCGACCATTCTCTGTTACTATACTTCAAGCATGGTCACAACCATTAAATGAATTACATAAAACATATCTATCACATGATATTCGAAATATTGAAACGACATGTGAATTACTTGAAGCAGCAAAAACAGGTGTATTTCATAGATTTATTAAAGATGAAAGTATAATTTTAATGGAAAGAATTTCTCAGAAAATAGTCCAACAACTTAATTCAAATATTTTAATATTAACAGATAAAATTGTTGATTGTATGAATTTAATGAAACAATATTTTCTATCATTTTATCATATTAAAAATATTCAATATATTATTCAGAATAGACAAAAAGAAGAATTACCTGTAAGTATCGAAGGAATTGATCTGAATTGAAAAATTGATTTTTTTCGTAGGATGAACATCTTGAAACAGCATATACATATGAAAAATCTCGTTGGTTACATATGTTTCAAGTTAATAAATCAGTGAAAGTTATACGTGAAATGTTAGAACGTATTCATACTACTGAAGGTGTTACATTTTCGACATTATCAAAAGAATGTCAAGAATTAGCTATTCGTTGTGATTGTACATCATTTCCATATATATTTGTATTACCTGAATGTTATTATGAAGCAAGACAAGCTTTAAATTCACTTCGTACATGGTTACATGATGACAGGAATTATACTGAATTTATTCAAAAGTAAATCGTCATAATTTATAAAAGAGAAAAAGAACAACTTAAGTTTCATTTAGATCTCTTGAATTACTTGATAAGAAATATCTTGAAGTAAAAAAAACATTTGAAATCAGTAAAACTCAACTAAGTCAAATTAAATATCGGGTATTAAAACCAACATCGATAATTCTTGATAATATTTCTTTTTTAGACTCAAACCTATGGTATTCAATTAATTAAATTTGAACAAGAAAATGAAATAAATAAAAATAAATATAAAGAATTTCAAACAAGTTTTCATTTAAAAGAAAATGAATATACTTCAAAATATTTAAAATATGACTTATATGTAAAAGAATTGAATAAATTATATCAACAATCTAATGATATACAAAATAATATCTTAATGAAAACTTTTCAAAACGATATAAAACATATTTCAAATGAATTACCGAAATTAAAATTACAAGTTGATCTCATACAAACAGGTATGAATTCGTTTCAAGAACGTGAAAGAAAATTAATTGAAATGCAGAATAAACATAAAAACATGGAAAAAGATATTCAATTAGCTTTAGAAAATAAAATTCATCAAGAAAATAATTTAAATCGTATAGAAAAATGTCGTGATATTATTCGAAATATTTATAAATGTCGAAAAAAAAATAATTTAATACAAAAAATTTTCTATGATTTACCAATAGCTTCTAATGATAATGGTAAGATTATAATATCGAATTTAAAAAATAAATAATAAACTATTATTTTCTCTTTAGATGATCTTTCTAAAGCACTATGCATTGTATCAAAATGTATTGGTCGTGATTGGAATCTACTCTATTGGAATTTACCGTTTTATCCAAAGCGTGGTCAAGAAGAATTATACAATGATATAAAATATATTAATGAAAAATATTATCGTGGAGATGTTTTTCAAGTAAATATTTCGTTTCTAATCGTTTACTATTGATATTTTTATCTAGGATCAAGCAATCGAAATATTAAATAAATGGCGACGATATCATACACGAGCAAAAATAGATGATCTTATTCATGGACTTCAACAAATTCATCGTTTAGATATAATAAAATTAATTGAAGAAGATATAATTAAACCAAAACTATTATTAAATGTTTGTCATGAAGAAATTGATCCACGAAAAAAAGAAATTGAAGATTTAAATCAAAAACTTATTCGATTATTTGATAAAATACGAAATAATACTACGATTTCAGTAGAAACATAGATTCGTTCAATAATTAAACTCATTACTTTTAACATCAGTTCATAAATTTTTATTGTTTACCAATTATTCTTTTCTTATTTGAATGATGAAGATAAATCAAATAAATTAATACAATACTTAAATATCTTAAAAAGAAGTTTGATCTCTTAACTCTCACCCTTACCGACAATCTTCTACCTGTTATTTTAACATCATTTGAAAAAAATCTTTCGTTTGTATTCTTTTGTCAACAGAAGCACGCTGTACATGTCTTTGCTCTTTGAGAAGTGTGCTGAAAAGTAAAATGAATTTATGTTTGTTTTTTCTTTCGCTTGGCCGATTGTAATAAGTATACATTCATTTTTTGTTCTCTTTCTCACACAAAAGCGAAAAAAACAAGATTATATATTTTGTCTTTACTTCGACAATTTCAGATCGATAATCTTTTTATTTCGTATATATTTCGAAACGTCAATACATAAGGTAAGGAGATTCTCTACTTTGATCAATATTCATAGAAATGGCAAAATCAAATCAATGTTCTACTTGTCAAAAGCCAACAGGAGTAATGCATTGTATAGGTTGTGATCGTTACTTCTGTACAAAGGATTTCAGAAGTCATCGTGAAATATTATTTACTGAGATGGAACAACTCATTGAAGAACGTAATAAACTACAAGAGAAAATTAACACGACAGCAAAACCAAACAACTCAAGCGATCCAGTTATTGAAGACATCAATGCATGGGAGAGGATTACAATTGAAAGAGTGAAGCAAACAGCGGAATCTGCACGTCAACAGGCTAATGAGTTGATGACTTCAAAATCCGTGAAAACTACAAATGAATTCAAAGGCTTCTCAGACGAGTTAGCTGATTTGAAAGAAACTGAGGATTATGTTGAACATGATTTAATAAGACTTCAAGAAAAGATCATTCAACTTAATTTAGACTTGACTCAACTTTCGCAAGGAACTAGACTTGAGCTGAATAGAGAAGAAAGTGAAAGAATAAACTGGAATTATATTATCTATGTTCAAGAAAAACCTATCGAATTTGAACGTCAACAAACACGAACAATAATGGCAGGTATGTTTCTGATGTGGATGTGGGTGTAGATGGAAGTCAGTGCTAATATAAGCAAAGATGAGACACTAACACCCCATCCACGCACACCCTCAAGATATTAAGTTTTAATAAATAATACATATTTTCATTTAGATATCGCACGAGCAGTGGCATCACTTAATCAAAGCCAACTTGATTGTTCTTACCATTTATTCTACATGTCATCCTGCTTCGAGATTTTCTTGTGTAATATTTTGTTTGTATCAAAGTAAATTAATGAACGTGATATTCGTGGTCGAGCTTGTGCACGATGTACAGATCATTCATATTACAACAAGTTTTGCGTTATACATTTTATTTTACATTGCTAATACAAAATAGACAATATTAGTTGAACAAAACTTTGGTAGATGTTCTTATCATTATTTATGTTAGATGTGATATTTAATATAGTGTATTAATTTGGCACTTCTGATTTAACGTAACTAAATATATATGAACAATATGCTGATGTGCAATATTTATTTAATGTGTCACCTTCTATAAATAGTGAAAATGGAACTTCTGCGGATGCTATGAGTAAGATAGATGCATATATCTATTGGTAAATAATTATTCATTAACTCCATACTATTTTAATAGATTCATCAACTACAAATAGATTTCAAAATAACAATATAATAATGAACAAGTTTATTATTAAAAATATTCATTATTCATACCATCCTGAAGGTCTAAATGTGTTTGTTATCTTCATCGGAAAGTAAGTAAAATAGGTAATTGTAATCGTGACAAAAATGCGATAGATTTAGCGTATTCATTTGTCCTATGATTTGTATATCATATCAAACCCAACATTTGAATTCAAAAGAATGAAAATTAAAACACAATATGATTATTTAATTTCTATTCATCTATTCTATCATATTCGCTGATATAAATTGTTGACTATCTTTCACTCTAGGAAACATAAATGTACAATAAAACTTCCGTTATGATGATTCATCTAATGAGCGATTCTCTAGGGCTCGAAGCATTTCATATCATTACAATTATAGTCAATGAAGAAACTGAATAGAATTATCGTTAATGTCATTTATGACTTATGTCATTTTGAATCTGCAGTGAATGTTGAAATTGTATGTTCAAACAGAAAAAAGTAAGTATACAACATAATGATATGATGCATTCGTGTGTTTCATATTCTCTATCGGTTGCCATGCTACGATTATTGCTTCAGAGACAGTAGTATTAATGAATATATGTATGGTGAAAGTTATTCATTTTCTGTGTGATCATACATGATCGAATCAAGAGATCATTAATAGCAAGCATCTCGGTGAATTAGTGGCCAAGACCATGCCACTTGTTGTTCAAAGTGTTCATTTAGTATTTGTTCTTTTATCAAGTCACTATCCTGTTCTTCCGCGTTTAAAATGAGCGAAGTAAGTAAATAGAACTGTAATAAAAAGTATTCATTTGACATCTGACTTGTGAATTATTTAATTAACTTATTCTTCACTTTATCAGCAGTAAACTAATTGAACAGAACTCTATTGAGTAATATTCATTTATCATGTAATTGATGTTTATTTGACTAACTAATATTCGTCACTTGATCATCATCAAAACAAATGAAGAAAACTCTCTTGAAAAGTATTCATTTGTCATATCAATTGTGGATTATTTAACTAACTTATACTGTTCACTTTATCAGCAGTAAAACAAATGAACAAAACTGTGATGAAAAATATTCATTTTTCATGTGATTTATAGATTATTTGGCTAACTAATATTCTTCACCCAATCATCAATAAAACAAATGAACAGAATTGTCATGAAAAGTATTCGTTCCTCGTGTGATTTGTGGATCAATTGACTAACTAATGTGCTTAACTTTATCATCAGTAAAACAAATGAATAGAACTCTCCTAAAAAGTATCCATTTGTCATGTGATTGGTCAATTATTTGATTAACTAATATTCTTCACCTTATCATCAATAAAACAGATGAACGGAACTCTCCTAGAAACTATTTATTTGTGATGAGATTGTCAACCATTCAAATTAACAAATCGGATTTTCTTCAAAGAGAGATGAATATATGTATAGAATGGTGTCTGTCAGTGCAAGCAGACTGTATAGTGTGACATTTATTGTATGTTATTGCAAAAATAAAGAAGGCAATGTTTAGAGTGTAGTTTTAATATCTAGACTAGTCAAAATTTAAAAAGAAGAGAAAAAGTAGCCTTTTAATGGTAATTGGTTGTAGCAATTCTCATTACTTGCAAAATGAAAAAGTGTATCGTGAGAAAATGGATATCAAATATCTATGTATGATCTTAATTTGATGATTGTAGGATGTGGGTATGGATCTAGATAAAGAGACAACACCCACACTCACCCTATCTATCAGATGAAAAATAATATCAAATTGCTTCTAGTTTTATTATAAAGTATAGGGATCAAATATAAATTTATTTGACATTCTTATTTTATCGCAGAATAATAGGATAAAATAGTTGATAGACGCTTTTCTTTTTTACGAATAAAAATAATCAAATGAGTTTTAATCTTTCTCTCTTTGTTCAAATATTTCAGTAAAAATAATTGACTTCTTACAGATTTATTTTAATGTTATTCCACAACATTCAACAAAACATGTGAGTCATATATTTATATTGTTTCATCGATAAATGTTGCCGTCCTACAACGAAGAAGCAAAAGAGCGATGTAATATATTGTTTATATTCTTTGAACAAAATCATACGAAACAATGAAACAGCAAATAATATCGATCAGGTGTGCTTTCATTCCATTTGAAAGTGTGGATGAGACAGTTAAATGGATATACATATTGATATTTTCTCACACCCATACAACACCAAAATAATGATTTAGTAACAAGAAAAACCAGTCTGTAAAGGTTAATAACAATTTACCGAGAAAATGTCTCCATGTTCTCATTATCTTGAGATCTAATTGTTAAACTTATCTTGAGATCTGATTGTTAAACTTATCTGAAATCGATCGATTAGATTTGTCATTAGTTTATCTTTATCAGATAATTATCTATTCCATATAAAATAAAAACAATCACTACGACTGAAGTTTTTCAAAATGTCAAAATTCCATGAAAATTAAAAGTCGAATTAGTTCGATTGAAATAAATTTGCAGCTGTTTCATTGAAAAATATTTATTTTCGTAACTATTTTATTTCTGATATCTCAATTTGTTTCATCGAAAAATCTATTTGTAGTTTCATTAAATAAATTTTTCTTTGTTTCCATATAACTTCTTTTATTGATTTCAGCACGATCCCTATCATATCTTCTATCAGTTATAAATTCTTATAGTTGTATTATTATGGACTTGTTGAGGAAGTAGAAGAGGTGGATGTAGGTGCGGATAAAGAAAAGTTGAATGCATATCCACACCCTCAAGATTCTTTATCAGGTAATGTGTTGTCATGAGTATCTGAAGAAGAAGAAAAGAAATGTTTCTTTATCAGAAATAACGATTCATTTTAGAGTCGCGTATGTTATATTCAAACTTTGAAAGAATATTTCTCCTATTTTTCTTCGACAAAATATTTGAAGAAAGAAACGACGTGTCATCTACTTAGTTTTTTTAGCTTAATCATAGAGATTCAGTTTCCTATTGAGAAAAAGTTAAATTTTTGTTGTCATCATTGTTTTATTAATATGCAATTCTCTTCTTGTGAAACAACGTAGTTTATATTACGGTGATTATAATAGAGTCTACATGATTCTACAGGCTCTCTATTTCTTGTTCTGTTTACATACAACACCATAGCAACATACAATAAATAAAAGAAAAATAAGAGTGATATTTACTTGATGAATTATTTTTTATTGAGAAAAAAGTACATTAGAATATGTTGTGATGATAAATCAATATTTAACTAACTTTGGAATACTAAAAATGCTGTTTGTTTTAATTTGTCTAATAAATAGGATGTGAACGCTATTCTACACAAATATAAAACTCACTTGTTTGGATCATTTTCAGATTGATGAAGAAAAAATGATTATCTATTAATTTATAAATTATAATCAATCAAAAATGGAAGAATAACAAAAAAGAGAGATTTTCGAAATGTTCTTATACTTTGTGTTATAGAAACTTAAGTCGAGTTTGTTTGATTTTGAAGAAGTGTTCAGTTGGTATTATCTGATAAAGCAGCTCATCTAATTATTCTTCGTTTAGATATTAAAGATTGACTTTATTCTATATGAATGATGTGACAGTTCACTGATATATTATTTAGTCGATCAGATACATTTGAAGTATTCAGATTTGCATGTACAAATAAATTTTAATTGAATTATTTTTTTTATAAAAAATTTCATCTGCAACTAGATGTTGATTATATTTTCTTTTCAATTTCATTTTTGTTAGACTAATCGTTCTTTATATTTTTCATCTTTCATATAACTCAAAAGCACTATTGATAAATATATTTGTCCTCAAATAACATTTAAACACGTAGGAAAATCATCTCTCCGAATAAATAAATATTTTTGAAAATAAAAAAAGACCTAACTACTTTTGTTGATTCAATTGATAAAATGAATTCTGGAAAAAAGACGTCGGGACTGTTTTTCCGCGAGATTGATGAAATAAATCCTGGGGGAAAAAATATGCAGTACCGACTGAAACGAGAAAAAAGAATTTATTGCTCGATAAATACTTCGTTTTCTATTATAGATTGAATTGATTTGATCAACTTAGAATCTGGTATATGATGGCTTCAACAAGAGTCTGTTTATGGCTTTTATTTATAATTATGACACAAGTAGTCGGAGAAGATACAGAATCAATAATAATGTCTTTAATGATTAATTCCAAGTTTCAATGTGCAAATACAACTTGTTTATCATTCAATAATGTTATTACATCAAACATTAGGAATTGTCAAGTAGCCTGTTTAACTCAAAGTCAATGCAGAGCAGCAACGTTTCATCGATCAACTTCTAATTGTGAACTATTTGGTAATATCTTGAACCAAAATGGAAATATGTTGGCTGATGTGGATACTACAAGTATGAGTGTTATTAGTGAAACACGATTTCCATCGGGTCAGTATAAATACAGCAAGTTTAGAAGAAAATATGTCACTGAGAGAGACAATTTATTTTCTAGAAAAATAATTTCAAGTTATCGAGAGTTAAGACAATTTGACGAAAATATTAGATGCATTTGAGTGTAAATCACGGATCGATTCGGCTCAACATGGCAGAAAAAAACGTTGAGCCAAACCCTTTTCAGAAGCAATTCTTTTTGAACCAGACTGTCTGTTTCGAGATTTATATTTTGAATTCGACTTTGAAAATATCCTGGTAAAACGAAATCTTTGTTAGACTTGAAACTAAAGAATCAATACCATAGAATATTAAAAGACTAATGAAGAAAATATGAAATAATTATCCGATGAAACGTCTATATATATTATGATTTTCATATTCATAAATCTATACAAAATATCGATGTCTGTGAAACAAACTTTCATCAAAATTTCATAGAAATATAGCATATTCGACAGATCCTTAACAAACAAATAAGGAACTACAGTATTTTTCATTAACATGATCATCACAAGCACTTTGAGCTTAGTATTGCACCTTGTTAAGTCGTGCAGAAAAATTGAACTTAAACTGGAAATCTATGACCTCTGAATATAATCTAAATATGTCATATAGAAATTTTCCTGTCTTAAAGAGAATTTCTTAACAGTATAACTAGACACACTGCAATAACGAAGAGTTCTGAGAAGAAAATCATAAATTAGATCAATCTAAGTTCATTCAATTTTGTGATCTTTCCTTATTCAATTAAAACTAGTTGCTGATCAGAATTTCATCTTGAATAAAAATAAAATACTTCAAGAAAAGGATCAATATGCAAGTCTTATATGACTCAATCTGTGTGATTCGAAAAGTTTTATTATTATTAAACTTATTAAGAAATGTAAATTGAGTTGTGAAAATTATTATAGTAGAGATATGATTAAAGTAAATATCGTAGAATTACAATTATAATGGCGATCATTTAAACATCTACTATTTTATTATAATCAACTCATATTTAATGCCAATACATTGTTACAGAAAAAGAAACAAATCTTATCTAATCGTTTAGTCTCATTCT